CATGAGGAACTGCAATAAAGCCTATTTACCTTGTAGGGGGGAAAAAAACAAGTCCAACAGCAAAGAAATATTATATGAAAAAAAAAAAGACAAAAAGAATTTGACCCTCTCTGCAGCCTCATAAAAAATGTGCAGATAGCCTGTGATTCTGCATGGGCAGATGTCCTCTCTCCTGAGCATTGTCTAATCAGAGCTCTTTTGGACTTAAGTGAAATAATAATAATAACAATAATAACAATAATAACAATAATAATAATAATAATAATAATAATAAGTGAATGCAGTGCAATTTCCATGGGAACTTGGAAACAGATGTAACATTATTTGCAGTAAGTCTTTGTACTGTGAATGGAAAATTTTCTAGTTTATACAAACCTTGACTATTATTTTCTTTGCAGTGCAAACTTGGGCCAAATATTTTCTGTCACATTAAAGAAGCAAATAGTCAGTTTTACTTTCTGTCCAGTACAACTGTGCACAAAAGCTTCAGAAGCGGCAGTAAAATGCCTGATATCTATCTTTCCATGAACCCAAAACAGATATTAGAAAAAAATAATTTGGGCTTCCTTTTTGCTTGTTCTCTTCAGAAAGTGAAAACAGCTTAGAAAACATCTCCTGTTTATGTGTAATGTTACAGACTGGTAGACAGCCAGACCACTGGCAGATGTGCCCAATGTTAATGGGAGCTTAACTAACTCTTAATATTAGACCAACTAGATACTAACTCCTGGTTTTCCATATACCATGAGGGAGCGCTTTCTAGCTCAGAAGCGTGTATTCACAGAATAATTACTTACACATAGCTTTCTCAGCTCTAAGTAAATTCCCAACAAAGTACAAGTCCAAAACCATGGCAACGACTTGTGACCTGATAACTGGTTTTGGAGACTAGAGCACCTTCATCTCACCATGTTATCAAGACCAGACAGAGCATCAACCAAGAAAATGTGTAGCAGTGCCACATCAAAGAACAGCACCCAAAGCAGGTCTTACATGAACATTTTCTCTTCACATTGTTACTGAAGCATTCTTCTCTGTGTATTCTAAAGAGTAGGGAAGAGAAAGCATCTCCATGTGTTATGATAATGCAGGACTCGCTTTTTACTCGTTTACAAGCTTTCCTCTTGCTAAGCTGAACCTTGTCTTTGCCACACATCTCAAGTGCAAATCAGTTACTCAGACTTGTTCTTCCAAGATGGAAGGAGTTCTGCCCTGCTCAGCAAGTACTCATGTCCTTTAAGTGGACCGTTTGCCCATACATTACCAGAGCATTTTAAACTTTAAGCTCAATCTGGTAGCAAAGTCTAACACATACCTAAAGAACAACAGAACTTTTGGTGCAAATGGAGGTCCCTTTTTGTTTGCAGTACAGCCAAATGCTTTATAAATTAGACCCTTCTGCTACCACAGAAATGTCCAGCATCTGCTTTATCTATTTTAGACATATAATTGTAGCAGATTTTTCAGTTGAGTTAGTCTGTGTTTGCATTAGAGGTATCTATACCACTCATATGTTAGCTACGCTCATTTTACATTCACTGTAAGTCTGTAGAACTATACCAGTCTTTGTGAAAATTAAGCTGGTATCATGGCACAGTAAGATAAAACAAATGATCTCTCATTTTTAGAGCTACAAGGAAGTCCATCGTTGCAGCACATATGATGATAAAAATGTACCAAAAGCACAGAGTTTACATTAGCTTTTATATAATTAATGAAGTGACTTTTCTCTTACACGTGTTTCAGACCTCACTCTCTTGCCACTCCTCCCTCACCCAGCAGCAGGAGTAATTGTGACAGTGCAGAAATTAACTTTGAACAATACAAGTCCTAGTTCTGAGCTACGCTGCTCCAAGTACTAAGCCTAGCGTGGGGATGGTAACAAAAATGGACTGTAAAACTTTTCTCCCTTAACAGCAGCTGTTCAGTTGGTGTAGTGTTAGAGCTGTGATAATTACATGCCAGATCAGGGGACGCCTCTGCAAATCTGGTGCCTGACCTGTACTATTTACAAGTAGGAAGAGTCCAGTGCTCTAATCTATAATAGTCTGGAACAGGCTGTCTGCATGCCCATCTGCTCACCTACAGTAACTGGGTGCTGCATGGTCATGCATGCCCCTTTCCACCCCTGGACATGCCCTCTACAGCAAAGAACTTTTCTGTGGGAGATTCATGGGGATTTCAAATCTCTAGAGCTGAAACGTGGGTACAGTTTGGGACCGTATCTGTGCAGAAGATTTGTGTTGTCTTTAACTGAGGTAACAAACACAGTGACAACATCAAACACCTACTGAAGAATCAGTGCAAAACAGTTGTCTGATACAGACTGAACTAGTCCTGCCCTAGGAATCCTGACTATACTTGAGGGAGTCATTGTTTAAGGCATGGGACTGCTTAATAAGAATTTGGTCTTTAACACAGATTTCATCATAGGCTGACTGACTGAAGCTTTCTCTTTGCAAGTTCACACGCAATTCAAAATGTCATGTTGATTTTATACCTGCCTGGCCAAGTAAGATTACAGAGCAGGTCAATCACCTTGCTTTTCAGATGTATTTCCCCTTTTACATCTTGAAAATTCTACTCACTTACTTGTAGATCATGCATAGAAAGAGGAAGCAGCATGACTCAGCTCCACAGTACAATGGCTGGAGCAGGTCCAGACCTAGCAATCCTTTGGGCTTTCCTTACCAAAATACAAATCTGCAGCTTGGATAATGTAAAGCATCCAGTGTTTGTATAAGAAATGTTAGATGGGCAGCATGCCAGTAGCAGTCCTTAAGCAATGTGGTAGTTCTTTACATTGATGGAAAATTATCTTCTGAAGAGTTAGGAAGGGAGCAAAAAAAAGCCAAAGGGCTCTGATCTTAAACAGTGCCTACAGAAGACAAAACACTAAAGAGGAACAGCCTCCTGAACTGTATTTTGTAGACATGAATTTACATGGAAATCTAGCAGTACAGAATGTATTAAATTAGCAAGTTTCACATCATGCCATACTGGCAAATAAATTACAGAAGTCATAACAGAGGCATAGGAAAGCTACTAACCTTAAGGAATCCAGGACCTTTGAGTAAGTTTCAAGAACCCTGAGTCCCAGTGCTTTGGCTAAACCGCTGGAAAATAGTAGTCTAAAAATTAGCTACTCTAAAAATTCAGTGTCATCTAGAAATTATTCCTGAACCTCTACCATTTTGCTAACACCTGATCCACTGATGTTTTTCATAAAGAGCATCCACAGAGTGAGCTATTGCAGAGAAAACAATGCACTGTAAACACATTTAACTTCACTCTATAAATAAGCTCTGAGAAAAATTCAGCAAGAACTTCAGTTCACTCCCTGAATGCACAACAAATTTAGACGGTTTGATGTTATCTCATAGCAATCTAACCTCAGAGACAAAGACCTCAAATCTAAACCTGTTTCTTAGAACAATGTTGTACATTCTAGTCCATGGCCAGAAGCTCTGGGCAATGGGATGGATCTGTCTTTTCAGGCACTGCATTCACTGGAGGAAACCACATATCAGTCATTACTTACATAAATATGTAAAACAAAAACAATAAAGAGGCATGATCCAAGCTATTTCTCTGAAACGGCCCTCACCTTCCTACAGAGCAAACCAAGGTATTACTTGCAAAAAGCAGTCCTCTGGACTGTGTACGTGGGGGGATGACTGCACAGTATTGGGAAACTTGCATCACATACTAACCAACCTCATATTGCGTTAGAGGATGAAAGGCCAGCAGGCTTCTGGGCTCTGCGTTAATTTCAAAAGATGGTTGATTGAGCAGACTTTATGCTTAGCAAAGCTTAGCAGCTTTTTTCCTTATCCCTCCCCAAAATGTTTTTGGGCATTGTCATATGATTGTACTACAAAACTTGAAGTTATCCAAAACCAGTTCACGAGAAGTGAACAGAAACATCTCTTTTCATTCCAAAGGAAAAACATCTCCTATGCTGTTTTGGTAAGTGAGCTCAAAACTTGGAGAGAAACCTAAAACTAAAAAAAGCAAAGAACTCAAGAAGATTCATATTCTGAACTGCAGCTTCTGTTGCCTTAGCTCAAGAGAAAGTATGTTCCTGGAAAAAGGGCCTGCCTGGAGCCAGATTTTTTTCAACTCTGACTTTTCTAGTTGGCATGGCTTTAAATCAATATGTTGCTATTAAAGTTATTTCTTCATAAACAAAACTATTCTTTATGGATTGTATGATAGTTGTTTACAATTGAAACAACCACTTGTACCATTTTTCCTAGCACTCGGTATCTAGTTCAGCTCCTATCAACCCTAGACAGACAGTGATTGAGCAATTTAAGAGGCCTTTACAATGTTAGTTCTGAGTCTCACTGATTCAAAGTGTTAAATCACCTTCCCAGAAGAGAGTTCCTGTACGAATCCCAAAACAAAGAAGTGTCAGCTTTATCACCTACCTTTCTATCTACACACAACTAAAGGAAACATCGTCACATCTTAGAAAAACAGATATCTTGCATAGTTTAATTTGAAAGAATCTTACTGTCATATTATTACAGACTGTCTTTAATACCACAAGGCATTCTTGTCTTTAGCCAGGACTAAACCTGATTATAAATATAATAGAATTCCACACTAACCCTGTAAAGACTAGCCTACAGACAAACCTGCCACAGGCAATTCAGAGAATTTGTAACTGTATTTGTAACACTGCAAAAAGTGGAACAAAATGTGATCATACTGCCCAAACACACTGTGCCAGACCCCAACAAGTACAGAATCATTATTCTAAATGCTGTATCAACAGAGCTTAACCTAGAGATTATGATCTCCATTATACACTTGAATTGTCTTCTGCATTAAATAGATTTATATTGAGTTAACAAATATATCTAATATGGTCTTTTTTGAGATTCCTCGAGACTTTTTAGAATGATACAGTAAGCTTTCACTGAACTTTAAAGTGAATTTCACCCCCTATTTAAAACTGCAATGAAATCACGCTGTCAATGAAAACTGGTTACCTGTGATCAAGGACCGTTACATCGGAAGCAGTAATCCCCAGAAGAGAACAACTCTGTTCCAGTTCTTTCTTACGAATCTCTCCTTGATTGTAATAATTTCCTGAAAATAGCAAACACAGCAACATTGTCTAACTCGGTTTAGGTTAGCTTGGAAATAATAATTCTTTTCTTTCTCAAAGCATTAAGAGTGAGCATCACACATTAAATAAAAGGGCATCATTTGAGGAACAGATCCATTGCAGGGGATAAACTCCATAGCTTTTACCTGAGCAACACCCAGCTTAGCTCAGGGTAAAATGCTGAGGCAAAGTTCTGCCCACCTTGACTACATTCCTCACTGAGTGTGGCTTGCAGCCATTCATGAGCTTACTGGGCAAGGACATCAGAAATTGCCGCGTCTAATCAGATCAGTGGTCCAAACAGTCCAGGATCCTCACCCTAAGACTGGCCAAAGTTATATGCTTCTGCCAAAGACACAAGAGATCTTCCAAACAACAATTCTGGAATAACCTGCTTGGGAAGCTGCTTCCAACAACCTGTTTGATTAGCAGATGTCTTATTCCTTGAAACACCAAAACTTCTAGGTCTTCTGAGTTTTTTGTTTGGGCTTTTTGTTTCATGTTGGTATATGCCCAATCCACTTCTAACATTGTTTTTTAGCAAGATTTAATCTCTGTCTTGGTGAATTCCATAGGCTGACCATGCTTTGTGGGGAAAAAAAGGAGTCTTCTAATATGCACATACATGGACTAACTGCTTACACATTATCTGAATGGAAATCACCAATATACTACAAAACAATTGAGCAAGATCTTTCCATAAACACAGGAGAAACTGCCTTTGCAGTGAGGTGACTAAAAGTTGTTACCACTGGCAAATTTCCAGGTTGTCTCTATGCAAGAGGTTAGTGGGATCTTAGTCCACTTCTTTAAAAACAAGCATTCACAACAAATCAGTAATAATTAATCTCCTCAGGAAGGGCCAAAGAGTCACTCCTCCTTCACTATTACACATGCTGCCATGAACTCCCTCCTGTGCTCTTAACAGCATAGGCCCACAGAGGCAAGCTGAACAGCAAGTCCAAAATACTTGGAACAGAATTGTTGAGATCAACACAGGGAAAGCCTGTCCCATTGCGTATTCTTTAAGTGATTAAAGTTTACCGTATAGTCTGGGCCACTTCTAACGAGCAGCAGTTGTCATGTAACACCAAGGCACTGCAATAGAATACAGTGATGGAACTAGAAGGATTTGAAGAAATGAGGAATTCCACCATAACAATCTCTGTCTCAAAACAAAGATTTTCCAGAAGTCTATATCATTCACAGAGGAAATTCAGGCAGAAACTAATATGGCAAGATGGCAAAGAACTTGTAGAACCAAAAAAAAATATAGGAAATCTAATTTAGATAAGGCATTTGGGAAAAGTTCTAACAGACTGAGACCAAAAACTAGCAGGGAAAACGGATTCATTATCTTAAAACACTGCGTCCTTCCTCACTGAATTATTTTCTTCTCATCTTGCCCTGACATTCCCTTATTTTTTCTTGGCATCAGCCACGCAAAGTCCATGCCAGAGCTGCGATGGCCCCTTCCAGAATGTTGCCCTGTGCAGGGCAGTACTTGCAACCCAGTTTTAACTTTGAAGCAATAAAATGAAAAAAATACAGCTGAGTATTAATGTATGATTCAAGCCTGCAGTCAGCTGTCTTGAATTACACTAGAACTTTTTATTGTTGTGGGTGTGAGTCATCTAAATCTAGCATTTCTCTCGAGCAGTGTTGCAATCTGAGCCATCGCTAGCAAGCTTTGTAAAATTTTCAAAGAGGGAAACAGTAACCAGAAAAAAAACCCCTCTTCCTGCAGACTGTGAGTGAATGGTTTTAGGAGACTATGACGATGATTGTCTGTGGGTTTGCTGAGGAACACGTCAGTTTGGTAGTCTGCAGCTTAGATAGCAAGTTCTAGCTTCAGCAAAATTAATTTAAGTGTGCGCCTTCACTAGATGGATTACATGAGTACAGCAGGACTTATTTTAGACTGATTTTTTTGCAAGGCCATTAACGCCACTAGTGCTTTAAGATAATATATCTTTTGCTGTAATGCAATGTAATAGTTGACTGCAGGTGATATTATATCCAAACAGTACCACTGTTCTCAAAATATCTAATTTCTACTGAACTCAAAGGAACAGATCTATGTTCCACAGCTTGAGAAATGTGTCAGGACATCAGGAATCTATAAATGCTAACAAGAAAAAATGGGAAGCTATTGAGAGCAAAACCAGCTGAATAGCTGATGCTGCTGGACCTTATCCATGGAGCACTCACAATAGAGAGTCAGCTACTACAGAGAGCGGAGAATATTTATACTGAGTTATTATTTCAATTGAAGATTATTCAGTGTGTAAAAGACTCTTTTTTCCACAGTGCTGTAGTTCTGATTAATTTCTAAGCCATTTTGATCGACATCTGAAAACTGCAAGTATGACGGTTTAAGTAATGATTTTGTCTCAGTGTTACAATTTGCGGTCTTTGATCAACTCACTTGTCATCATCAATCATACAAACAATGAGAGGATGAACCATCTGAATCGCCCGAAAGACTAGTAAGGGGCACAGAAAAATCTATTAGCTCAGTGAATGTACTCTCCTATATGGGCTGCTAGTTTCGTACAAAGACATGCAAGAAAGTACATAGAAGGCAGTGTCAAACACACTCAATGTTTCATGTCACTGAATCAGGAGTAAACAAAAATTAAATTTAACAAAATAATCAGAAACACAACACTTCTTCGGAATGTTCTCTGACAGCAGGAGTGCATTAGACCCCAAAACTGAAATGGCAGAGTTGCACTTCAGTAATCTCTCCATAGCTGTGAAAAAGACAAATGGGATCCAGAGACCTTTGTCCCTCAGCAAAGACAACTGAAAGCTCTGCACTAAATCTTGAATGGGAGGTACAGAGTGATCAGCAAAGCCGTTACACCACTGGACTTCAACAATAGCTTAATCTGTCTTCTCACCTAGATGGTCTGTTATGACAGAATGCTTTGAAAACAAGGAACAGAAATGTTGGCAGTGAACTAGCTGGAGCTTTCAAAAACACAAAGGGCCCTTTTGCCAAATGTAAGTAGCTATTAGTGTAAGATGTAAATGATTGTAGCCTAAGATGCTCCTCTCAACAAACATCAAAAAAGTATCTTTATTTTTTACTGCAGGCTTATGAATTCTGGTATAGCAGTATGGTCTGAAAGATTAAAAAGAGGTTGTTTCTTACGCAAAAAGCCCTGAACAATGTAATAACTGATTAGGTATCAGTCCTGCAGAAAAAAAGAAAAGTCTGGAGCTTTAGTAGATCATAAGAGAACAAGACAAGAGTGTCATGTGCTGTGAAAAATTCTTGTCCTGGGCAAACAATGGAGCCTGTAAGAATCTTTCCATTATGTTCAGCCCCAGAAAGGCCTCAGCAGGAGCACTGCTTCCAGTTTTTGATCACTGCACTTCAAAAAAAGATGTGAACCAACTGGAAGAGTCGAAAGAAGAACAATGAGAACGACCAGAGGTTTAGAAAATATGATCTATGAGGAAAGACTGCAAGAAATAGGGTTGTTTGGTCTGGAAAAGATAAGACAGAAGAGGCAGATAACAGTCTTAAAATAATTAAGATAATAATCTTAATAATTAAGATACTCTGATTTCCATGTTCATGGTAGACAGAAAAAATAAACAAGCAAGCTTAAATTACACCAAAGATTCAGGAAAAAGTGATTTGAAGAAAAGCTAATGCAGCACTGACACCGTACAGGCTGAGGAACCTCCCTGGAGGTTCTGCAGAACAAACTAGACATTTGTCTGCAGCAAATGAAGACACATTGATGCTGCCTTGAGGTCAAATGATGGACAACACGACCTCAGGTTCCCTTCAGGCCTGTTTTTCCATGACTGGATTGTTAATGCAACTGTTCTTTTCAGATGTGTTATAGCAGATGTATCATTATGACATAGAAACTGGATCATCCAAGCAAGTCCTCAACAAGACGAGAGAATTAGGAGATGCCAAAAGGCTGGGCTAAACAGGACCTTTTTACAACTTACATTTCCGCAGAGTTTGAAAGTACCTCAGTGCTGCAGCAGGAGACTGGATTGTGAAACCTGTGTGCATGGTTCAGATATAGAGGGAGATTTTGCTGCTGATCATAGCTGCTGAAACTCTGCAGAAAGTAACATTTTGACCAAAGCCGCCCATGCGCAGCAGCTCTCCAGGCTGCGTGGGATGTTACGACAGTGCGCCATGACCTAAAACCATGACATCAAACCGCAAATGGATGGCATGGCACCTTCTCCACCGCATGAGTATTTCACAGCAGTGCCACACCGTCAAGGCTGCACAGGCCTAGAGGACCACGAGATTCTGCACATCAAGGGCATCACGTGTGGCATCACCGTGACATCACACACAGTGTCACAGCTGAGTGGGGTCGCCCCACGGTACAGCCACCGCTCGCTGCTCTGAGGCACTGACAAGTCGTCACAGCCCCGGGCTTACATCACAGCGCGAGGCCACACATAGGAAGACATCATGGCGGCCTTCCCATGACGTCACGGGCGGGAAGCCCGGCCTCTAGGGGC